CTTTTCTGTGTTTTATATGTTTTTGTTAATATGACCCTTTTTCCAAAACCTAAACAAAAATCACCATATGGTGGCACCCAACCACTATTTTGCAGGGAAATAGAGCCAGAACTGTTTCACAATCAATATAAAGTAATTTATTTTTAAATTATCAATAAAATAATCAAGTTTACATTTAAAAAATACAAATGACAAAAAAACCCTTCACTTGTATTCCAAACTAAGCCCCAGGGCTCAACAAAGACCTGTGATTAGAGCTTGTCTTCCCTTGTTGGTGGAGCCTGTCCACTGTCCTGACTTCATAGCCATGGGTAAGAAGGCATCCCCTTGGCTCTGTCTGAGTGCTGAGCAATGATGAAGTACATAGCCTTTGCAAAGGAAGCCAAGGGGTAGTCCCTGGATTAGGTGCTCACCCTATCCTAGAAAGTTAAAGCTAAACTATACATCAGGGAGACTGGCAGAGAATCTCAGGGGGTCAGCATAGTCACTACACTTGAAATCATTTCCTGGCTGTTGCTTCCTACATGACAAGAATTGGGGGAGACAAAGAACCTGTCAAGCTCATTAACGTGGTAGTAATACCAGCTACTCAGTAGTCCCCGGTCTCCCCCAGCTGACTCAGCCCTGGAGACGGGATCATCCTAAAGGCCACGGGAATGATCTCAAATTGCTCTGGGATGTTCTCAGGACAAGCCTCACCTATGCAGCAGTGGGGAGAGGTGCCAAAACTTGTCACACCTTCTGTCTGCTAAGCAGAAAAACTTAAGGGGGTCAACTTAGTCCTCACCCCAAAGATCTATGATTGTCCCAGTACTCACCAGAAAACAAGGTTTCTCGATGACACCAGAAGATCACATTTCTACTATGATTCATTTGCAGATAAGCAAATGTCTCTTACCTAATTTTTAGCCTGTTGGTTTGTCTGTTTGTTTGTTTGTTTCGAGGTTATAATATTCTCCATTTCTAGTTTCCTACTTCCTGAGTGACACGGGCAAATATATACATACGTCTCACACACATGATTATAAAAATACATCTGGAATATATGAAATGAGTGACTGAATACTCGCACCAATCTGAGCATTTCCAGAGCCTGAGACTCAAGCACCTTGTCCCTGGCCCAATTTTAAGTGCCTGGTTATTTTTCACCTCAAGGCAATGGCTTCACAAAACATCACTCCAATGGAGAACAGCCAGTTTCCAAGAGTCAGAGAGGGAAACAAATATCTCATACCCTCAGCCTTTACAAATGGTAACCTAGGACAATCGTATCATGCTGGTGCCTCCTTGAGTAAACATGAGAGAATACAACATAAAGATTGAAGTTGGCCACCAAGCTGAACATACTAAGAGCTTAATTTAAAATTGAACTTCAAACAAGTCAGCTTCTAAGACCAAAATGACATCTGCCAGTTCCACATATTTTCAAGACATAGGGAAAACAAACTGTGAGGACCAAGACCCTGCCAAGTAGAAGGCTCAAGCCAAGTCTTATTGTTGCCACACTTGGAAGAATCCTTTGTGTTGTTAACGATAACCCCCTACAAAATACACTGCAATTTCTGGAAGGAGAATACTCCATGAGGTAGAAAATACAGCACCTTGGGAAGGTTTGGAATGGGCTTTCCAAGGTGCAAGGCATAATTTGACACATTCAGAGGGAACAAAGAGAAGCTGGGTTGGTTCGTACTGTCTGGGAGAGAAGGCACTTCAGAGTTGGTGGGGCAGGAGAAGGTTTTGAGGAGAACTCAGGGTTGCATCAGGTAGATTAGCTTCCTCCGGGGCTAAATTGTTTGCTGGGTCAGGTCCAAGGACGGTTACAAGGAAACAAAGGAACAGGTCGCACTCTCTCACAGGAAGGCCATTCAAACTCTGTTCCCGTCTGAAGACAAGGGTGGCCACACCAGGCTGGAGTGAAATCGGGTTCTAAGAGAGGCAGGGGAAGGAGGAGCTGATCAGTACACAGGATGATGGTGGAGAGCAACATTAACATTCAGTCACAAACCTAGAAGGTGGAGACGGAAGGTCAGACATCACTGCAAAAAGGAGAGCAATGGAGAAGTAAACAGTAAACCTGAGAAATCCTGTAGACAAACCCAAGACAGGACCCAGAAATAAATATCCTGTCGTGAAAGAAACAAAAAGCCATATTAAAAATAAATCCCTGGGCTTTTTATAATCCTTCACACAGGCTGTCACATTCCCGTGGAAGGACTTGCCAGGGGGTGGCACAGTCGATCCACAAAAGCTACCCGTTCTCTCTACGGGGCCCCCATCAGCACTTTTCAAATACAAGTTCCAGAACTTGAATCTTCTCCGTTACTCTCCTACTCCGCACTTCTCTCACACAGTGAAAAGAATAAAGAAAAGTTCAGGGGTCATCATGGCTGCTCCATCTTTAGTGCTGGGTAGGCTCGGGCAAGTTTCTTAACTTTACTGTGCTTCAGAAGAGTTTCCCATCTGAAAATGCGGACAATGTTACTATCCTAGAACAGTACCTGGCACACAACTGGGGAGTCAAAGGAAGGCTGTCTTCCCTCCCTCCTGTTCAGAGACCTCTTGCCCTCAGGCCACATGGGGGGGGGTGGTCCAGACCTAAAAGCAGCAACCAGTCCCGACTTTATGAAATACACTACAGTAAACAGCCCAACACTACTCAGCGATGACACAGCATTTTGGAGATCAGGTAAGTCAACTAAAAACAATACATTAATTAGTCTCCTCATTTAAAAAAGGAATTCATTTACATTCTCAAGAAGAAGTTGATGTTTAGTGCTATAAATATCTAACTTGGAGACCCTCTGGTCACATGGGAGGAGGAAGAAGGAAGAAGAGGCACACGGAAGCAAAAATGAAGAGAAGAATCAGGTCTGGTTACCAACATGGAAGTATGTGTCAAGTATTAAAGACATTGGTATCTATTACCTCAGCAACCAGACTTCTTTGAATTCATAAGAGAAAACAGCAATGAGAAAAACAGAGGTTAGTCATACTGTTTGTTACAGTAACACAGTAATCACAAAACTCTAACTTTGGGGAAGTATTAAATAATTGAGAGTATATTCACAATCTTGTGTTGAAAATTAGATTTACAAAGACATTTCAGTGATGTGGAATGATGCATAGGATTTTTGAACTGGGTCTAAAACCATCGATAACGTAGTCTGAAGTCTGTGAATCCATGTCTGAGTGTGTGAACATGCCACAAGGTTATCAGCAATAACATTAAAAATTAATTCTGTTCACCTTTTCTGTGTTTTATATGTTTTTGTTAATATGACATCCTATATTTTATTCAGAAAAGTAATATTTAAGAAGTCACAAAAGTGTTAACAGTGCCAATAATTAGATCATTCCCGTCGTGCTGCTACTATGCACATGAAGCCCTGACAGATTTAAAGAAATTAATAGCCTAAATTTTAAACTTACTCTCCTCCAAGGTTCTCTGGACTTGGTAGACAATGATAAATGGCTACCTGGTTTTACAAAGAGAAGCTAAGATGTAGGAAAGAACTCTCCTAGGCCCACCATCAGCTGTGTGTTCAAACTTGGCCCTGTGACTTAACATCTCTTTAAGCCTGAGTGTCTTCGTCTGTAAAATATGATAAACAACAGCACCTACCTCAAGAAGGTGTTGTGGGGATTCGAGGACGTGTGTATGAGGTGTTCAATACACGGTCTGGCACAACTCAACACTCAAAAATGTTAACTGCTGTATCATTCAAGATCCAACCCGTCAGCCACAAACAAAACCCCACCACCCCAAACCCCAATCCAAAGCTTTGTTTACACTAAAAAGGGAATGGAAAGCAAAGCCCAACATCCATGAAAGTCAGCAAGAATTCACAAGATGAACCCCAGACTCAGGACACAGATTGTACCCAATTAGGAGCATGCTTCCCGAGCAAAAGGAGCAAAAATGTGGTGCTCAGGTGTGCCAGGACAGGTGGCAACATACCGTGTAAGACAAAGAGCTGGGACAGAGTCCCCGGGAGAGGAACCAATGGGAGCCCGGCCCAGCAGAGAACTTCCCCTGGCACCAGAAGCCCAGAAGAGTATTTTAAGGAGATGAAAGAAGGCACAGGTGATAGAAAGTCTGAGAGAGCTCAGTGTGTGTGTCCAAGGACAATCACAAGGGAGGAGCACTGCCATGTGAAATCCCAGGCCAATTTCTCAAGAGGGAGCCAATCCAGAATCCCCAAGAACCTTCCATTTACTTACATTTCAGTGCAGCAACCACTCGGGCCGCCATTACTTCAGCCCAACGGAAAGTCCAATAATCAATGCTAAAATGCCCAGCAACACCACTACTACCACAATGATAATTATCAATTTCTGGAGAGGATAAGAGAAACAAACAAACCATTATTACAAACAACCAAAAAACAACAACTCATCCAAAACCCAACCCCTCTCACCTCTACATTGAAAGCCTCTTATCAACCCAAATAAGACTATAGATCTACATAAAGACATTCTATTAGGATATTTTATATATCTTAAGTGACTTCCTGGCTAGCAAGGCCAGCAGATGGAAATAGGGAGCTTCTGTGGGCTCTCGACTCACACTAAGTCTTGCACATGTGGACAGATACAAAAGCAACCATCACGGGGTCTCCGAGCAGCAATAAGCCAAGGTATCAAGAGACCAATTTTTCATTTTCAAGAAGAAGTGTATGTTTTCAAATAGTCCTAATTTCAAACTTCTGTCTGTCTTTCCCCTAAAGCATACGCCCATCCATCAGACCCAGTCCAGTGACTGGGGATCAGAAAGCAGGATGGCAGTCCTATTGTGAGCCAGCCTTGATTCGTTAGGTGAAATAATTTCCCAACTCCTTGAATCCCTGCACAAGCAATAGGTAAAGTTGGAAGAAAATCAAAGAACTGAAGAAGAAAATTATCAGAGCCCAGGAGAATAGTCAGAAAAGAACAGTCTAAAAAGCACAAGCCACCAGAGCTGGCTACCACAATGGGCAGAGAAGTTGAGAAGTTCTCAAGCAACAGGGACACCGGGAGAGGGGTAAATATGCTGGTGTGGGGGAAAGAGCATGATTGGAATCTGAATTTGAATCCCAATCCTATACTTACTAGGTGCCATGAAGCCAATTACTTAACCTCTGACCCTCAACAGTTTCACCTATAAGTAGGGAATAACAGGTGCTCCATAAGATAGGAGGTAATGTTGTATGGAAATCAGCACAGCACTGGGTTCACAGTAGAAAAAAGGGGGGTGGGCTTGGTTAATGGAGTGGAAGAGAGTGAAGAGGTTTCTGAAGAACAGAGGAGTCAAGTGTAACATCTGAAAGGATCATGAGCTCCATCCAGGGAAGTCTAACGGCAACACTGGGCAATGCATGCATCCACCCTGCAGAACTGTCTTCAAGTGTGGGTTCTTGGGTAGAGAGTATGTGAGCCAGATCCATGCAAGGCACACCAGGGGAGAAAGGGCAGCTACTCTCTGGGAAAGGCTGACGTAGGTGTTGGGATGAGGCCAGGACAGAAAGGGAAGGCAAAGGATCAAGTACACAGGTGGGGAGGACCAGAGAGAGGAGAAGCAAGCCAGACCAGTGGAGACTAAGGTGCTCACCCTCCGAGCTTCACTCTGAAACTTGACAGCCTTTTTGGTATCTGCCACGGCCCGCTCCACAAAGCCCACTGACTGGTCCATGTTGTTCTCGATACGGTCAATCATGGCTCCCTTTCCCCAGATGCAAGAGGTGGTGGCAGCAGAAACAGAGACAGGCACAGGGAAGAGAGAAAGAGCAAGAGACAGCAAGGAGAATGGACTCTCCTCTCTGAAGGCAGCCGGAGAGTCTCACCTTCCGGGCCTGACCCTGGTACTTCACAGCTCTTTTCGTTTCTTCCCGTGCCTTCTCCACATGGTCCACTGTGTGCATGACATTCAGCTCTATGTTATCTAGCATCTCACCCTGCAAAGAACAGACATGAGTCACACCCCATAAACCCACGCCAGGAGAGTTGGAGCTCACATGGGGACGGGGCTCTTGGTTATAATCCCCGGTGCAAAGAGGAGCATCCAGAAGTCTTCTGTGGGGCACACATTCCATCTTACATGGGATTACCTATGGCTCCCCAGGCCCTGGTGGTGGTCACTCACTCAAGCAACCCTCAGTAAATTACTTCTCTGGGACAGGCACTGCATGGAGCACGTGGAGCACAATGTCGAGATGCCTGGCAAATACATGTTCTAACAGATCCCACCACCACCATTCTGTTTTTAATTAAGCATATGAGGAGAGGAACCATAATAAGAATATCTTAGGGCATTATAACTGGGATGCTGGCCTCTTCCTAGTCGTGCAGACCTGAACCAAGTTCATTTGGCCTGAGGCAAGTTTGTTGGCCAACAGACTGGCCAACAGCAGCTGCTCCGTAAACATCTAAGGTTGGGAACATCTGCTTTCTCCAGGAGAAACTCCCAGGCCCCTAAGGTGACAGACATGGGGTTTACCTAAGCTGTCTGGTTACATCTTATATCTCCGTGGTTATTAAGAGACAGTGATCTCTTGGCAAGATTCCCAACCATCTCCCAGCGATTACTTCCTGACGAGGAAGCACGGTCGCTCTAGTTAATTCTGGGCATCTTAGGACGGGAACGCCCCTCACCTACCTCGACCTGCCTCAACCCAACCCATTGCTTTACGGCACTCTGTAAGCAGAGAAAGGCACTTACCATCACTTGACTCTCAAACCAAGTCCTCAGCAAGGCCGCGAGGAGAGGAGAAAGAAGAGCAGGGAAGGAGGCACTTAAGGAATGGTCTCAAAGGCCAGCAGGGAGCAGAGGAAAGGCACCTGGGCCCTGAGCAGGGGACGGCTGTCGGAAACCAGCCAAGCAGTGCTCGGGCTTCAGGCAGGTTTTGCAGCCCTTCCACAAAGGAAGCTGTTCTCAGTCCCTTCCAGGAGGGCAGAACAGCTGGAAGGGCATGGTAACGGCAGCACACGTGGACCCCGTGGCGTCTCTGACTTCATCATAAGAACAGCAACCACCTGACCATGCGGAGCCAACACCCTATGCAGGTGACAGAGACTTACAACCCTGAACAAACATGCCCAGGGACAGAATAAGGTGACAAACCATGAGGGTTTCAAGTGTTTTTACAAATATTATTCTACCTTCCCTTCCTTCATTTTGTTATCTGTTCTTGTTCCTTAGCAAAAGGTGCCAAAATTTTTGGAAAAACATACAGAAGAAAAAACAAAAATGGGAAAAAAATTAAAACCTCCGCGAAAGCTAACTTTTCACCATGAATTGGGGAAATGATCCTGTTTTCAGTGTCACCCATGAAATTGTTCCTATCAGGAGACTGCTTTAAGGCATCCTCATTAAGAACCCACATCCCCACTTAGAAGGGAAACAAGAGGTGCAGGCGGAAGGAGGTAGTACTTGACTGAGCGCATCAAAACCCACAGTAAGCAGAAGTGAGGCCAAAGGAGCAGGCAAGAGGACAAGGATGAGCTGGCACTCAGGAGGGCATTCCTTTCCTGGGACACTGGGATCCTGTTACTCCATCATGAGGATTCCCGATGATTCCCCCACCGCACCTCACTGACCTTCCAGTCCTCCCGTCTCAGGAGGACCTGAGCTTTCCTCCCTCTCCCCAGGGTGATGCCCACTGCCGGTTACCTGATTCTCCACCAGCATGGCGATGTCCACAAACATGTCATGAAGCTCCTTGATGCTGCTCTCCAGCCTCACAATGTCCTTGTGCCGCCCCTCGATCTCACTGAGGGCTTGCTTGGAAATCTGGGAGTCCATGATCTACAACAGGCCACACAAAGACCAATCATCAGCCGGCACCCCTGCCACAGACCCCACTCGCACTCCGGCCAAGCCCCCTGCCCCCCTGCCTCCTTGCACCTGCAGACCTTCCCGCACCAACCACACAGAGCTCCACGGCAGCCTCCCCTCTCCACGAGAGGGGCGTGCATCCCAGCTCCCAGACACTCACCCCAGAAGTGAATATGGCGGGGTTCCCACTCTCCAGCATCTCCTCCAGCTCCTCATCTGTGGTCTTTTTGCCGGCTTTATAACAAAAGAAGTAGAGCATCAAATACAAGACCAAACAAAGCACACCAATGCAGAAGTTCCCTGAAAAGGGCGCCTGGGTGGCTCAGTTAAGCATCAGCTATTGACTCGGGTCATGACCCCGGGGTCCTGGGATCAAGCCCCACATCAGGCTTCCTGTTCAGGGAGAAGTCTGCTTCTCCCTCTCCCAGCTTGTGCTCACTCGTGCTCTCTGTTGCTATCTCTGTCTCTCTCAATTAAATAAAATCTTTAAAAAAACAAAAAAAGTTCCCTGAAAACCAGGAACACGGTAACTTCACTCTAAAGACCGTGGCCTTTATAACACACCCCCAAGAGCTCCTGACATGCCTTACTTCCAATTTCTCCCCTAATCTAATCCACCCTTAGCATTACAGGTGGTTACCTTCCTGAAGGACATATCTGACCACATCCCTTCCTAGCTCAGAAAGCCGACTGGCCCGTTCACTGTGCCTCGGAGGATCGGGAGCCAGTTCCTAGGTGAGCCCTCCATCCTCCACCTAACCCCACATTGCTCTTCCCAAGGGCTCCCCCTTCCCAGGCTGGACAGTCGCAGCACTCCTAAACACACTTGCTTTTCTCTGATGACATCCTGGTTCACATACTTCCTCCACTTAGAGCCCTTGGCACCCTGTAGTGCCCCAAGTCCCTGAAGGGCGGGGCTGTCAGAATATTTCTGTTCCTCACAGCACCCAGCGCCATCCTATAATCTCATAAATGTTCTCTGCTGTCAAAGACACAACAAAAAATATCATGAGTCCCCAGGACGGCAACTGTCAGCAAGTGCCTCCCCTCCATGTGAGGCAATGTTGGCGCCCACAGGAACCAAAAGACCTGGGCCTGACAAGCATCATGCCACCTTGCAGCCCACAATGGGGCATCAGGTGCAGTGGTGCCCTAAGGCCTCTCCTGGACTTGGGCACAAATGCAGCAGAAGCCACAAGCAGGGGTACTGCTCCTCGCTCTCCCAGTTCTCCCGACTTGGGACAGACAGCCCCGTGGCAGGGAAAGGCGAAGGGGCGCGCACCAACTTCAAACACATACTGATTTCGAGCTGCCGCTGGATTCGCCCTTTACTGCGTTCACGGAAGTCCACCTGAGCCTCGTTGTATTTGGTCATCACCTCCACAAACTTCCGGGACAGGACGGAATGCTGTGGGAACCATGCCAAGTGCAGTAAGCCCCCAGGAGCTGATGGCCAGGGACCCCACACTGTTATAGAGCCCACACTCCCGGCCCCATCCGGCCCAGGCTGTGGCAGCATTGGACTTGGAAGCAAAAGACCAGGTGTGAGACTCAACTTTCTGCTTTCCTAAATTTGCACCATCAGGACAGTCTGCTGACCTTTCCAAGGCATGTGTTCAGCATCTGTTCACCTGCCCTGCTGAGCTCACGTGATAATCCTGAGGCCAAAGGAGAGCCCTGCATCCACACGACTAACTGTGTTTTTCTGGCACAACCCTTGGCTTGCTTTCTAAAGCTGCCAGACTCCCTTCCAAATCCAACACCTGCCAAAATCCTTGAGTTCTTACCCAACCTGACCTTCCTAACTTCCCTTGCTTATAAGTCAATGCATTCACTCCAGAGCCCCCTGTGCCTGTGTTCCGATCTTCACCATTATTTTTATTCCTTGCCCACTCTCCACATCAAGGCCTACTGGCTTCTCCTTTGCAAAATCACCAGTATTTGTACCCTTTCCAAACCCGCTAGCAGCACGCACATTCAAACCAAAGTCATTGCAAAAGCCCAGCAAGAGACCCACCTGCCTCTCGCCCGTGCCCCACTCTGGTCCAGCTTTCAGGAGGCCCCCAGCCTACCTCCTAACAGACTGCAAGCTGAAGTAAATGCACACAGGTCACCTGATCCTATCCAGGTTCCCCAGACAGGTATTCAAAGATCTCTGCAGTACAGCACTACATTCTCAATCAAAGTTCAATGGCCACTAGCCCACAGCCAGCTTTTCTCTCCAGACAGGCTGTTCTCTCCATGCCAGCCCCTCACCCCTGCCCCACCCCCATCACTATCACTACTGCTACTAACACACCCCCCGCTCCTGTCCCCAGGCCTCTTAGGGGAACCTCTCGACCCCTGACCCTGGCCATGTTGCCACTCTCGCCCATCCAAGGCCCAGCCCCCTCTGACTACCCCCAAGTCTTCCCGAGCTCTGTGAATGCGGAGAGCACCGTGCACTTCATTGAGTCTTCCTACACTGCTCTCCTGTTAGGTCCCATGTGATAGCATCCTTCTGCCACTTGAACACGACTGCCAGTTCTTTGAGGACATGGATCGTATCTTTGATGACCACCAGAGAGCCTAACTCCAACTGGACAACTAATGACCACAGTCTTCAGAGAGACCTCTGTCTCCTCCTGAGTAAAACAGGAGGCACACGAACTCTGAAGCTGTGCCCTAGAGGAACCTTGGGAAGTTCTTCATGGGCCTCCTTAGAGAAGCAGAGGGTGGCAGAGGGGCCAAAAGGGCTGGATTCCGGCCCCTCTCCTGCTTCAGCCTGGCCAGCTCTCCTTTACCAGTTCTTCCAAATGAGTCCAAATAAGAACTGTACCTTACAAAAGAAAAAAAAAGACTCCACAGCTAAGACCAAAATAAAAATTAAGACTGGACAACATGACCAGGGAAAATCTTACCTGGGATTTTCGAATCCGAAGGTCGGCCGACGACCGGACCTCATCTTCCTCGATGTGCCTCTCCATACCTGCAGAGCAGAGCAAGGTTATTCCAGCAACACATCACTGCTCTCCAAGCAGCACACAGCTCAGTGCCAGGCTCCCCGCACACCCTCTCACACCCAGCCCATGCAGAGATACAACAGGCATCTACAATCTCGACCCGTCAGCTCACAAGTGAGCCACGGGCCTCATGTTCCACGCCCTTTACTGTACCAGGTCTTGTCTGATTGTAACTGAGCACAGCGGCTAACAGCAAGAGTCTCCGTCACCAGGAGACTCGGGCTCAAATCCCTGCCCTGCCACTCACTAGCTGTGGGACGTTGGGAAGGCCACGTCACCTTGGTGTTCCTGTTCTCTCATGTACAGAATGGAGCGAGGACAGCACCTCCCTCACCCACGTCAGCAGTGAATGAGAACGCACACAGTGCCCCACACACTCTCACAGCTCCTATTGGAAGCTGCCCCTAACCACCTCCACCTCTGCCCATGAAAACAGGTATTGTGATTCATTTTGGGGGAAGAAATGATGAATGCCACCTCCACCCTCTGATCAACAGTCTGCTTTCCCAAGCCAACTGGACAAAAATGCAGTTGGAACAAAGAGACCTTTTGGGCCCCAGGGGAACTCAGTCTATGACCTCGCCTCATTGAACAAAGGTCTAAACTGAAGGGGTGGAGACCTGGCCCCCCAAGAACTGTCTGCAGACTGAATAATAATATGTCCTACATCTAGATAGCTCTAGCATTAGTGTTCACAGACGTAGGGCTGGGAAATGGGACCAGTAAAAGTCAAGGGACCAAGAAAGCACCGAGTCACACGACTCGGCAGCCGGCAGCACACTTTGGTTCTGCACTCTTTCAGCTGCAGTCCTGCTTCCAGGACAGGCAAGATTTCGGGGGCAGTGCCCAAACTACAAGCGAAGATGGGACGAGCGTATCATCTGGATGAGTTTTGGTCCAGAAGAGCTGGGCCCCGCGGATGTGGGCGCCGCGGATGTGAGGCGGCTGGTGGTGGGGCTGGCTTGTTGCCGTTGCTCCCTTCTTACTCTTCAGTTTGTTCCGGACGTTGTTGGCCCTTTTCTTGATCTCGGTCGTGAGCTGCTCTAGGTCATCCTTGGTTTCTGGGTAAACAAAGGCAAGCAGAATCAGCTAGAGAGACTAATTGCTCTGTGAGCCTCACCAAGCAAGAGGAAGTGGGAGCCTTCTCAAGTACCCACCACCCACAGCAGTATTTATCCTGAGGAGCTCCCTAGACATCTGTCCTTAGAATCACAGACAGCTTATTTAATAAGCACTTTTCTAGGCACCCTGGTCCCAGGCCTACAGAATAAAAACACCCACAGTTGGAGCCCTACAATCTGTTTTTTTAACAAGCTTTCCCAATGTTTATTGCAGCAATGTCCACAAAAGCCAAAATATGGAAAGAGCCCAGATGTCCATCCACAGATGAATGGATAAAGAAGATGTGGTATATATATACAATGGAATACTACTCAGCCATCATAAAGGATGAAATCTTGCCATTTTTCAACAACATGGATGGATCTAGAGGGTATTATGCTAAGCAAAATAAGTCAGAGAAAGACAAATACCATATAATTTTACTCATGTGGAATTTAAGAAACAAAACAGATGAACATAGGGGAAGGGAAGGAAAAATAAGATAAAAACAGAGAAAGAGGCAAACCATAAGAGACTCAACTCTAGGGAACAAACTGAGGGTTGCTGGAGGGGAGGTAAGGAGAGCACTTGATGTAAATGAGCAATGGGTGTTATATGCAACTGATGAATCACTAAACTCTACCCTGAACCTAAAAATACACTATATGTTAACTAACTTTAAGTTGAATTAAAAAAAAAAAAAAAAAAAAGCTTTCCCAAGTAATCCTGTGGCACACAAAATTATGAGAACCTTGCTTTTAGAGGAAATCATCTGGTTTACCATGATGGCTTCAGCTTAAAGGTAGGAGAGAGTTTCATGGGATTTCTGAGAAAAGGGATGCCAACAAAGGCTCATCGACCTAGATTCAGGCAAATATTTATGACATACCTACTATGTGCACAATGCTACTCTAGGATATACGGAGCAAAGGAAGTACTGGCCATGACTATTCATTCAGAAACCATCCTTCAGTACCTGCTACAAGCTTGGACCTGAGCTAGACACTAAGCCATCAGAGAGAAGATAGAGATCCTGCCTTCAGGGGCTCAGGGTCTACTGGGGGACAAGGAACGAATAAATCAGTTGTTCTAATGTGCAGTGTGGAGTAAGGTGTGAGTTCTGGTCAAGGTGTGCACAGGATGGTGATGAAGAGCCCCTAGCACAGCCTGGAGGGATCTGGAAACACTTCTAAAGACAGATGATAGTAAGATTGTGTCTTGACAAAGGAGGAAGTGCTAACCAGGCAGAAAAGGAGATGAAGAGCAGAGTCTCTGGGAGGAGGGACGATATGTAAAAGACATGAGGAGACAAGAACCATTTGGGGAACAGCAAAAGTTCAGTCTGGCTAAAGTGTGGGTGACATGGGGGAAGGGTGGCAGGAGGAAAGGGTGTGGAGAAGGGCAGGCATGTGACTAAGACAATTCCCATGTGCTCCACTGAAACATTCCAGCTTTAACCTTCTGGTGCTAGGGAGCTGCTGAACAATTCAGAGCAAAAGGATAGCATCTGGCTCGTTTCTTGTCCTTAAGGAACCTAAAATACAGCCCTAACCCCACTCTAAAAATGTGAAAGTTTGCTGAGGTGGGGGTACCAAATGGGAGTCTCGGAATAGGTGGGATTGAAGTGAACGTGACCCATTCTGGAACATCTCATGGAAAAAAGATGGCCTTGATCTGGCAGGATTTGGATGGGGGCGGGGAAAAGCGTTTCAGGTGGGGAAATAGCACACGCAAAGGTACAGCCGAGGGTCGGAGATGAGGGACGTGAGAAGCAGTCAGCGTCACTGCAGTCGTGAGAGGGGCTGGATGGCAAGGAGAGGAGAGTTCGGCCACATGGACTCCGCGGGACCATGAAGACCAGAGCCGGCTGAGCTGGGCGCGTGAGCTAAGGCAGGGAAAGGAGAATGGACAGACCCAAAGTGTACACAGTGTGGTGTGGTGCACACACCCCCTGCTGCTCACAGGAGGGAGGAAAACTGGCTCAGCCCCAATGCCAAGGGCAATTGCTGGGTGACTCAGGTCTAAGTAAACACTTACTTGGCTCTGGAATCGGTGCAGACAGGATGATACTGTAGAGTTTCTTAGCCTCTTCCACGTGCTCGGATATCTTGTCAATGTTTTGCCGAGTTTCCTCGATCTAGAATCACAAAGACAATAGCCTTTGTTGGGAGAGGAAGAACATGTCCACAACTGATATAAAAGCTTAGCAGAGCTCCCTGGGGAAAGCCGCCCACCTTCTGGGTTTGTGGGACAACATGAGGACTAAAAAGTCTTCTGCTGCTGGGTGAGTGCCCTTTGCATGACCAGATAAACTAGCATCCAGAGCAGTCACCAAAAACCCACACGCCCCGCTCCCTGAGAAGAACACATCCACCCATCTGGGATGGGAGGCTGTGGACCAGAGTCAAGAAGAGCCAGGAAAACCCAAGAAGACGAGTCAGATGACAGAGCCAATAAACCGTATCAGGCAGACCAGTCGGCCACTCCCGGAACGAGAACACCAGAAGGGGGAGGATGGGAGAGAGAGAAAAGGGAAGTCGGAAAGAAAAGCAGGGAAGGGGAGAGAACAAACGTAGAGAGTGAAAACAAAGAAGAGAGAGAGAGAGAGACTAATAAGCATGGCCCCCTCAGGAGACACCGGAGTTTCCCCTGGACATGTGTTCTGCTGGATTCCCCCAGATGATCAGCCTCCAGACACTCCAACCACAGACCATGTCTGCACCTGACTAAGGTTCCTGATTATGCAAGGTGTGCATCATAAAATATTCCCAGCAGCACTTCATTCCCAGATAGAACAGCATCACAAGACACTGCTGCGCGAGCACTCCTCAGCTGATAGGGGAGCCCGACAGAGACCTCAATGCCCACCAGGTCTAGCTGCCGCACTTCCAGAAGGATGGGCTTATCAACGCTGTGGCAATTAACAGACAAATCTTGTAAAATACCATCCAGCAGCATCTTACCATCAGGAATACGATAAAATACAACTCAGTATGCAGTGTCCAGCATACCTTTCTTCCAGCAAATAATTCACTTGATTTTGAAAACCCAGTCAGAGCTCTCCAGATTAAATAGAAAACAGGAAAAATAAAACTTGAGTTCTCTAACCCTCGAATGAGCACTTCTGCCAGTGGAACTGTGGACATTGTCCCTCTACAAATATGCTGGTTGTGATGAACCACAGTTGGAGAGTAGACTCACTTGCTTCAAGATATAAAATAAAATTTCAATGTAATCATATCATCAGAGTATAAATCCAAATACAAGTCGCACCCACACATTTGTGAAGCATTTTCACAGCTGGCAAAACAATCCATGGTGACGCATGAGGACCGTTATTCACCTGAGGAACCTAAAGGTTGAAGAGGTCACAGGTCACGTAGTGGGACGACACTCAAATAGGGATGGTTGGAAGTGGGAGCACTCCAGACTCCAGCTGGGATGCTTTTTGCATTATTTCTAAGACTTGATCTTGTGGTTTCTCCAAACTGTTTAACCTCTAGCAGAATCCCAGACCTACCCAACGCTAACAAGGGCCTATGTTACCACCTGTGAATGCTGGCAGGCTCTAGAGGTGTGACCACCTCAGATTCAGGCCCTTGGGTGAAGCCAGAAATTGCCACTTTGCCCTTCCCTTGTCTCTCACATCAACACTGGCTCCTCTTACAACTCATATAATGTCATTGCATCACACCATGTCCCATTTCCATCATGTGACTGTCTTGCCAAAGTAATTCCACTATATCAAATAGGACTGAGAAAAAAAGGCTCTCTAGGATAAAACACACAAACCACTTCAAAAAGGGTTTCACATAAGAGAATCAGAGAAATAAGTGACACCATGAAGCATTCCAATGTCAGAATAATTGGAATCCCAGAGGGAGTGGAGAGAGAGAGGGGACTAGATGTATTTGAGCAAATCGTAGCTGAGAACTTCCCTAAT